TATTCACTTTTAATATTTATTAAAAGACCACTTTCTTTTTTTTTTTTTTAAATTTTGCTAAGGCGAGAAAAAACTTAACTTTAAATTGATACATCAACGATGTGTCTTAATTAAATTAAATCACAATGTTTCTAATTAGAATATCTAAAAGTGAATTTATTTAATTTAAAATATTTCTCTTTCAATATGATTCCATCAAATGTCACACATCAAATTAGAAACCAAGAATTTTGCAATAACTTATAAAAGTTCGTAGGGTACTATAATGTAATTAGACTGAATGAATTTGATTAAAGGCCGATTGGACAGAACAGAGAAGGTTTGGATTTTAGATCTCTAATGGGTTTATAGAATTTATTTTAAAAAATAAAACGTTTCAAGTCTAATAATTATAAAATTAATATGAAATTTTTGTCATAATCAAACTAATTTTGATAAAACCATGACAAGAAATTTGGTACTAAAACATTAATGATTTTAACTAAATATCTTACACGTATAATAAAAATAAAAATAAAAATAAAGATGATATTCAAAGGTACTTTTAATAAAATAAACAAAGATGTTTTGGCCCATTAAATTAATTAATCAATTAATACTGAAATTAAAAATGAAACTTTTTGAAGATCCAATAAATCCAGGTCTTGGTTGACTAATTCAGAGCGTGGGCAAATAGAAATGCTTCTTTAAATGGAACTTGCAACGGGTAATCATTTCTCTGTCAAATCACATTAGACCTTTCTACTCTTGTTACCAGTAGACAGACAAATTCTTGGGCAGAGGGGAAGAGTAAGTCAATAGAGCTTGAATTATTGGAGTAAATTTTTAATTTTTTAATATAAAAAAGAACGTATTTATCATTTTAAATATTTATTTAAAAGAGTTTTTAAAAATATTTTTATCATTATATATTTATTGTGGAGAAAGTCTTCGATAAGATGGAAGTCAGCTGGTTCTTGATTTGAAAGTATTTTATTTATTTACCTTTTTGAGACAAGCATAATCAATTGCATGTAAATTTCTTTTCAATGGCATGTTTTGTATGATAAGAAATCATAAAGCCATATATGCCCACAAGCGTGTTCTTCATATGTCATCTTGTCTTCTAATATTAACTTGCTGGTTAAATTTTATTTAACCACTTAAAAAATACTAATTTCTTTACTTAGGATACCTTGATTTTTACCCCGTCCCACCCCCACCTTTTTTTTTTTAATTTTTTAATTTTTACTTTGATACTTTAATTGTAAATCTGAATAAGCTCCATCAAATGACGGACATGGAGAAGGAGAAGGAGAAGGAATTATTATTATTATTATATATAAAAAAAATACAGTTTCACACTGCATGTGATTGATATAATTGTAATTCAAGTTTTTACATTTTTTTCTAACGATTCAATTATCTATTATAATTATCTGATTTTTATAATTATTTTATGGAAATTCACTTTTAAATATTTGCTATTATCTTAAATTTTAAACACATACGAATAATTAAAGATTAAAGAAACTAAACTTAGAAAAAAGTTGAAATTAAAAGGTAATGGCTTAAAAGCCAAAAAAATTAATATCTCGAAAGAAATTAAATCAAATGCACTGAAATACCATAAAAATTAAATTCTATTTATATCAATTTGAAATTCTAATTTATTTAATTATTATTATTATTATCATTTTTATTTAAAAATAATTATCACAAAATATTTTTTGTTATCATATATTTTATTATTTACTAAAATTAAGTTAAATTTAATAACTATAATTTTATTAATATATTAATAAATTCAAAATTTTATGTTAATTAAATTAAATATTATTATTCATATTATTATTATTATTATTATTATGAATATTATTGGACGCTAAAATAGGGACCCAATAGCCTTGTGATTACATTGTGGGGGAAGCATTTTCTCTCTTCTTATTTTTTATTTTTTATTTTTTTCTTCTTTTTTTACCTTGTAGTACGAGTGGTGACTCTGGTGCCTGCAATTCTCAGAAAATGCCACACCTCTTATTCTCTTCAATCGAGGAATTTATGTTCATCTTTCATGGAGATCCAACAACGGCAGCGAAGTACTCAACTTTATCAATTGCAAAACCCTTCCATTGAACCCTGAACTACTGGGAAAAAAAATGGCCCAAACTATCTCTTCGCCATTTTTGAGCTCCAATTGAGTTTCGTCTAAATCTTCTCCCCTCTCTCTGTATCCTTCTTCTTTGCCCAAGATCTGAATCTTGACATTCTTTTCCTGATTTTTTAAAGGGGAGGTCTTTGCTCTTTCTTCCTCAATTAGGTAATCTTTTGTTTTTATTTCTTTGCGGAGTAAAATCTTGTTTTCTTACTGAATGCAGAGGTAACTGTTGATCTTCAGCTGTTGAAGGTTGATGGGTTACTCTGTTAGTGTTTGTTTTTTGTCATTCTTGCCTGAGGTTTATGATTCGGCGTAGATCCTCAGTAAATTTTAGCATATTTTTCTCATCGTTGATTCAGATCTGAAGTTCCACTGTCAGCAGAAGGCCTCTGTTTCTTTCTAGTTTATGGATGTTGGATTTCTTTTTTCTTTTTGGATTTTATTATTGTCTAGGTTGTATTATAATATTGATCTGGGTTCTGTTTACTGGATGTTGCCAGTGGCTGTTAGATTTTAGATAGATACAAGTAAGTCTAAAAATAGTTCTTCTTCTGGATAGAGATGGCTACAGATAGTTACTTATAGTTGCTGCTGCTCTTACTCTCAGGCTCTTTAATTGGCTAAGTCCAGTTACATTTAATGTGCTAATGCTGATAATTGAGGCTTCTTGTGATTGTTAACAAAGCGCCATCCCAATGAACTGGTGTCTTCAAATTCTAAATTATCAATGTGGCTTTTGTATTCCAAAAATTAGGAAATTTTCTGATGTGCTTTCCAGCATATACAATTGCCATATGCCTACTGGAGTCGAGATCTGGGTTTCTGTGCTTTCTTATTTCCCGTAATTTTTATGCTTGTCTGCCACAGATCACGATTTCAGATATATATATATATATATATATATGCTTTTTCTTTTGGCATTCTTGGAATCATGCAATTATATCTTTATTGTTTTCCTGAAGTTCCTTTGATCTCTGAGCAACCTAAGCTTTATCTATCTCCTTCTATATGCTGCTTGCAGCCCCTTCCTTTTTCGTTTTTCTGATATTTATGTCCTGAGTCAATTGCTTTTGTAGTGGCCCAGGTGTTTTGTCTGCTCAAAATTTTTGCATTGCTACAATGCTCAAGCAGATATTAAGCAAACTTCCACGGAAATCACCCAGGTCGGAGCAACTAAATTCTGCCGTCACTGATTCTGGCAATCATACTTCCGACTCTGGAAATGGCAGCCAATGTACAAATGTTGGGAATAGTCTTGCAAGTCGATTAAGTGTGGTTAAACGGGTATCTTCAGCTGTTTTTCCTGCAAGCATCATGGCGGGCGTTGAGGCAGTGGAGCCCAATCTATCTTTCAAAGATGTTTCAAATCCACAGAAGCAGAGCCTGTTTATCAGTAAGTTGAATCTCTGCTCTGAAGTTTTTGATTTCAGTAATCAAGACAAGAATACGGTCGAGCAAGATCTTAAACGTCAAATTCTGATAGAACTTGTTGATTTTGTCTCTTCTGGATCTGCCAAGTTCACTGAGCCAGTGACTGCTGCAATGTGTAAGATGTGTGCAACTAACCTTTTTAGGGTCTTCCCACCTAAGTGTCGTTCAAATGGTAATGGAGGTGAAACAGAAGATGAAGAACCAATGTTTGATCCTGCTTGGTGTCATCTGCAAATCGTGTATGACCTACTTCTTCGGTTTATCAGCTATAGTTCACTTGATGTTAAAGTTGCAAAGAAGTATGTAGATCATTGTTTTATACTACGATTACTTGATCTCTTTGATTCTGATGACCCACGAGAGAGAGATT